CAAAGCAAATTAAAATTTTTTGGAAGTATTGGAAAGTTTAGAAATTTTAGAATTTTTTGTAATTTTTGGAAATTATACAATTTTGGGAAGTACCAAACAATTTAGAACACAAGTGCTTGAAATTTCCTTTTTCGGAGGTTGAAACACTGCTGCTTTAAAAATGTATTCTGAATTTGCCCATGAAAGAAATTGTATTAACAAATTTTGTCTATGAAATCAGCCGAAATGAACAACTTTTTCCATTATTGACTTATTTCAATAAGACTGACATTTATACAATACATTCTATTGATAAATTACGTATAAAACTTTAAAATGTCTCATATGCAAATAAACTATATTCGATGACAACACTTATTATCCAAAATTATTGCCGATTGACGAACAAAAGAAACTCAAAGTACATATATTAACCATGAAGAATGATCAAATTCTTAATTATATTGGTTCACTCGATCATGTTTTTACCTATTTGAGAAATATTCCAACTGTTCAATAGTTTGTCAAACAAAATATTAGTTTACATAATTATCTTCATGCAACTATATTTCGATAACAACCATTTTCCACAATCTATCTTAAATATATTATCGATTTGTACGAACTTTTAAAAGAAATAACGTTTGATAAATTGCTAGGGAATTATATTCCCAATGAATACTGTGAAAAATTATTTTTAGATTCTGATCGAACTAAATTTATCAATGAATTCATCAATAGTACTTATACAGAAAAAACCATATCACCTGTGCTAAAACAATATGAATTTTGGATTTTCATTATTACAACGTATTATTATACGCATGCTGTTCAATGTTAATGTTTATGCTGATGTACCATTACAATTCTATCTTGAACGAATTGATTTATGGACAAGCGATGTCACCGAATATGAAATTCAATCATTTTCAATCAGCCATGAAATTCTCTTACGACATACCTTTATTATTTTGAATGGATTAAAGATTGAAAAAATGGAATCAAAAAAGACATTCAAAATATCAATACACAAACCAAACAAGGTAAAACTTGAAATTGAGTAATGGAAAACAATGTGAGTTCTATTCGAGTCATCCAGGGCAATAAGAAAAAGAAAAAAATACAGAGAATACGCATTTGATTTTCTTCCTAATTTTTTTTTTGGCATTTCATATGTATCGACTTCACGCTTGAATCATTTTATATTTCAATAAAACTAATAGTTTTATTTAAAACTCTATAGTTACAACAGAAGAGTCTATTATACATCCCCTTTAACTTCAAAGAAGTGACGCCTATACCTTTTCTCCGCTGGATTTTTTTCTTTTGACTACTTTTTTTTGTTAGGATCAGCAACCTTCTAATACATTTATATGATAAAGTCCAGAAAAAACTTCTTTTCTCAACTAATGTTTATCTTCACGTCTAGTCACATCAACATGTACACCTACACCCGTTGATTTCCAGTTGTTTCATGTTTTTATAGTTGTTACTTTGAAATTCTTGCAGCATTTCTAGCTCTTTCTATAATTATGAATGAATTATATTTTTTTAGTAGCGATGTTTGCACTTTCAGATTGTTGTTTTTACGAAAAAGTATACATGATGTCACAGAATTCATCTATAAAAAAAAAGTAATAATTCGATCACAAGATAACAAAATTAAGAATTCTCTAGAGATTGTTTTATTCTGACGACCCGCTACTACTGAACAAAATATAGACTTAAGAGCTTTCAGTTCTCTATGGTTCATTCCTCGTAAACAGCTTTCGAAGTAGAGAAAAAAACAATTTTTTTTTGTAGATCAGTCAACGTTTATAGATTCGGCATATATCTGGAAATTTTGTTTTATAAGAATAAAAATGTGAAGCTGTTTTCTATCACCAAAGAGAATTTCAGCTCCTTTAGTTAAAATACAATAAAAATAATTAATGTTTGAATTTGCTAGGTGATTTCGGGGATACGATGTATAAACTCATTTTGATTCGTCGATAGAATTATCAAAACTAAAAGTTCTATAAACTTATTATTTGTACATGTTAGAGCTGATTGTAATCTTGATGACGTAGGTATGCATTAGATCTTCTTCTTCTCAAACTCGAAACTGATCCACACACTTGAAGTGAATGTTGGTACGGCGTTATTGTGGCAAAAAACGGACTATAGTATTCATTTTTTTTATTAGTGCCTGCTTATGTATTATCAACGTTAACTAGTTGACAGCTACTGACATTTACATCGAGAAGATGGTTTAACCATTAGAAAAAAAATTTCTCTAATATTCAAGCATATAACATTCTCTTTGGCAACCAAATACTAACGTTTAGGCAAAAATCGAGTGTTTGAGGTTACTAGAAGGTTTCAAATCTTGCTTTAAGATGTATGTTCATATCACATGATTTTCTTGTCCAAGATACTCAAGTTCTTTATGCACATGAAAAAAAAACGTTTGACACAGGATGGTGACAGCAATACCGACATTCCTTAATGAACTAATTTTTCTTCCATTATTATTGCTCCGTCATTCGCTACCCATAATAGGAAAAACTATTTAGAAAGTTTTGACTTGTTACAATTGTTTTTGTTGATGATGACATATTGATGTGATAGTGGATGCTTCTGACCATTTATAACTATTAGTATATGTACTCGAATTAGATACAATATTTTTCTTCTCTTTTCTAATTAGCTATTTTCCATCCGTATGCGACTGTGTTCGAGACATAAGCTGACAACAAATAGCACTCGGTTCGGCAGAAGAACGAGAATTATGATAGAAAAAGAAAAAAAAAACGAATATTACTTTCATGCTATCATTTCGATGCAGATTCTTCTCTTTTTTCTTACTAACGATAATTTCAATACACTACTGACGTGTACAAATATAGATACTTTTTTTTGTCCCTTCGGTATTTATCCATTCGTCTTGTGGTTTGATATCATGATGCAAAAAAAAGGCATCAAATCTCATTCTTTAGAGTTTTGCCTTGTTAATATCATAATAAAAACGCCAACATGATAATTCATTATATTATAGTGGCTTGTCATCGTTTTCCATTTCTTTATTTTGAAGTGATACGTTTTTTAGTTTCTTACCTCTATTCTATATTCGGCTTCTTTATAGTTGTACCGTGCGGCTAGAAGAGAGAAAAATGACTAATCGGTCATATGAAGATAAAAAGAGAATGAGAGTATTGTTCTGATATTTTTATGAAACACGACCTAAAACGAGGGTTGAAGTGTATATTTGTGAAAAGTGAACCACGTTCTCTTGTCCGTAGACTGCGACAGACGTTTTTGACACGTAATGAAAGACCGTATATCACTAATATCTCATGAGAATATATAAAATGCATTATTATTACAGTTCTAGACAACTAATTAAACGAGGATGAATAAGTATGTCCCAAAATAGATTAAATGAAAGAATTTTCATATAATTAGGAACAACGGTAATATTGTGTTTCGTGTCTGCCATTCTAGGACGTATTCCAGAGGTTTTGAAATGATTTCAAAATTCATCATTCTTGTAAACAGGAGTAGCAAAGTTTTCGCAACTTCACCAGATTACTATATCTACAATATTTATAAAACAAAATAGCTTTTCGAAAATAAAAAAAAAGAACGCATATAAATTTGTCAAAGTTTCTGTATTTGATTACTATATTAATCCATTACTAACTTTAATCGGGCTGCTATTAATATATCATGCGCTATCGTATTTCCTCCCTCATAATTTCTCTTTTAATACACTCCAAATGTTTTTTATACGTCACACATCAGCTAGTTATACAACAGAATTTCTGGTTCAATTCAAAACAGCGCGCATCCTTTATTTGGAATTTGTATCATGCTGCATGAAAGTATGGTCGTATGAAAAAGATTTTTTGTTTTAACATGCGTTTTATAACGAGACCCTGAAAGCAAAATTTGCTTGTACATTTTTGTATCACATTTTATCAGATCAAGCCATTTGGAAAAGTACTTTCTCATCTATACTTTAAGCTATTGACCTGGAGCTTTGTAATTATTTAATACTAATTAGGTACAATAATACCATGCATATTTAGTTTTTTCTAGTATAATTTTTTTTTGTTACGCAACGTCTCATTTAAGAGATCGATATTTTTACTTTCTGTCCTAAAATGTTCTGTTTTTCTTTCAAAATGTTTGCCTAGCAAAATTTCTTCGTCATCAGTCGATTACATACAAGTCCGGTTGATGTTACCTCGAATATTTATCGGTAAGTGCCCTCGAATTTAGTAGTGTTTATTATAATTTTATTATGCCTTTGCGTTGGATCAGACTCAAATATAACTACCATTGAGCACACACTAAACAGAATCTTCTAAAACTCAATGTAAGAAAGTTTAGCCTTAGAAAGGACGATAATATTGAAATAGAAAGTGTCTAAACTAGAAAAACATTCAAAAAAAGGTGACGTCTCTCCAGTGGATGATGAATCCGCTACTAAAATGTCAAAATAAAGGAAAAGCTGGATTCTCTTCTTCATTTGTACATTCGAAGAAAGTAAAAGAAAAATCGATTTAACATGCAAAAAATTCCTGTAAAAGACTAATCTTTATTAATCATCAATTAATAGAAGCTGTGTACAAAGCTCGGGATGTTATCACTATAAAAGAAGCATTTATTTATTCAAATTTTCGAATAGAAATACATTTTCTATAGCCAATGATTTTCCCGAACACTAGTTGATGCATACCGATAGACTTTGTACCCTCATCTTGCACGCATATGTACATCAGCATCAACATCCTACCTCGAAATCGTAAGACTGAAAAAGTTCCAGAGACTCGTATCTACACACAATTTCATTTTATAATACTAACATCAACGTCCCGTTCTATTAATATCGATGTCTGCAATAAAATTATGTTTACTTTTTAATTTTGTTAGTATCTATTATACTGTGCCAATTCTGTTTTTAGATTTACTTCGTTCATCAGCATAAACGAGGAAGTATACATTCGTTGATAGATGATTCGAAATAATTCTTCATAATGATCATTATTCTTGGGACAGTCGATCAATTATTCAATTGGAGCAACATTATTGTCATAGGATGGCTCGCATTAATATTTGCACCATTTCACAAATTATCAAAATATTTAATTTTTTTATCAGCTTTTGTTTTATCACTATTGTATACTTTAATATTTTTTCGAACATTATACTTTCAAAAATCAAATAATCTACTATTAGATGTTTTTCAATTATCTGGATGGCTCGGTTTATTGAAAGATCCAATATTGGTTATCAGTATTATTAATCATTTGCGTGTTATCGATTTATGGATTGGTCGATGGATGGTATACGATTTTTATAGTGGATATAGTTTTGCTTATTGCATTACAAGCAAATCAAATGGCAAATATTATGTCGATAGATCGTGGACGTTTGGACGAATTGTTTTTACTCTAATTCTTTTAACAACTTATATGGCAGCACCATTTGGGTTTTTACTTTATACGTTGGCCAAATCTACTTTCTTGAAAAAGTATAGAATTGAAGGTCGAATCGATATAAAAAATTATCAAGATTTCATTGACAAATCGCATATGTATCAAATTCAAACTGATTTATTCAATCCTCACTACGTTCGATTTGGTGATAACTTTCCGAAATCTTTACGTAAAATCTATCATTTCGTACTCGGTATATTTGGATTGTTGGTCTTGTTCGTTGTTGCTTTGCCAGCTTACATTATTTTGATTATTTATTGTCGTATTACTTATCGAGCTCCATCGGCATCAACACAGCAGCCAGATGTAAATTCGCAGGCAATTCCAAACAAGATAATTCCTGAATATGTTCGTAATGTTACGACAACAATGAGATTAAAGTTAATTGCTACATCAATGACTAAAAGAAATTTCATTTGGCATTTAAAATTTTTGCTTTTACAATTAGCAACATTTATTGAATATATTCTAAATGAATCTAATCCAAATGTATTATTTCATGCATTAGAAGATTATTTTGCCACAGTTTACAATTTACCGTATTTTGTATTTGGTGACGGTATTGGTGTTGGTTCGTATGAATTAGTGAAACGATATATACAAGATGTTCCGCCACATAAAGGTTTAGAATCGTTGGGCTGGAAAGTTTCGTCGTCTCAAGAAACATTTTGTGATTTAACGACTGTATTTCTTTCATCAGATAACCCAGATATGAAACTAAGTCGTCACATTATTTTTCAATGGTTACATGCCTTTCCTCATCATCTATATAAGGCGAATTTTGAAGCACAACTCCATTTATCTCGAATTGTACCACGTAGAATTGATGGACAACCAAGCAAATATATTGTATATCAAGCAATTGGCGAAGTGATGTTTTTCTTGGCGACAGGCGGTGAATTAAGAAAAAATGAACGAGCTGCTTTTATTGATTGTGTCGAAACACCATTCATATTTTTTCCAAACTGGTTCAATTTTTTATTATTTGGAAATTATTTCGAACGAAGAACCTTAAAAAGTTATTACACACTACTTCAAGCGTTTGCACGACACATTGATGAACCTGCATTATGTGCTGCTATTACTGCAGCAGACAATCAAAAGTCAAAATCTGAAGTATTGAAATTAATTACTATCGTATTTTGTGTTGCAGGAAGTATTGCTCCGTCTAAATTAGCAGTAACTGTTCTCGAACGATTATGGTCGAATCCAAAGAAATATGTTCATTTATTTCGAAAAAATCCACACAATTTTATTAAAGAAAGTGCACGACTCGATAAAGTTGTACCAATGGTGAATGTTTTAGCTACACATGATATTGCTAATGAAATTGAAAATGAATTTAAGAAAAAAAATGAAAATATCAATATTTCTGAAAATACGCCGATTCATTGTTCAATTGTCAATGCAAATCGTGACAAGACAATATTTCAAAATCCTGATGATTTTATGCCAGAAAGAGCTGATTTGAATAAAATCATTGTATGGAATGGTGTCGAAGAAGACATTATGAATGTCGATAAGACAAAACGACCATTGCGCTACTGTCCAGGACACGATCTATCTCTTGATGTTATTCAGTTTATAGCTGAACGATTTGCACCACCTATATTTGATAATAATGATAATTATTACGCAAAGAAAACAGGTAAATTTTCTATTGATCATTAAGAGAGGGTCCATGAGACGATCGAGGATCGTTCCAATATACGAGGCACTCGATAAAATTTTTTTTTTCGATTTTTTTTGCTCATTCGAAACTTCAATGTCTANATTACGCAAAGAAAACAGGTAAATTTTCTATTGATCATTAATTATCTCGTAGTTTTCCATTGAAATGTATATTGTATATTTATGTATAAATATCTTTCTTAGATTTCTCATCGACTACGAATAATTCAAATGATCATAATAACTCTCAGCAATCAGATCATTTATTAGAAAATGACACGACTGTAAATTCACTATTATTAACAAAATTTGCCAATGAAATATTTGATGAAAATGAACGGCAATGGATTTTATCAAATTTAAATGTTAATCAATTGAATGAAAGAGATCAAAGTTGTTACAATGTGTTAGATAATTACACCAAAATAGTAATGAAACTGATGCAACTAGCCGTTAACGAATCATATTCATCTCCAGCACGTGCTATTGATATTCAACTGCCATTAGATTTACCAACACATGACCTAGGTATATTTCGTATTGATATGGCTAAATTTGTGCCAACTTGGGATGAAGATGA